ATACCTAGAGAGGTCGCAAAATTGACCCGACCTTAGGTCACCGATATGAAAATTCCGAATTTTGTACATACTGTTGCACTTATCAATTGCTGAAAGCTTCAAAGCGATCCGTCACTTGGTGTAGCTATGGCATACATTGAAACATTTTATGATGTGTTTATGAGGTGAGGTCACTTGTAGCGACCTGGTGACCTGACCTTGAAGGACCCTGGTCTGAAATTTTCACAAAATGTATAAAATTGATAGATGATAAGGTGCCGCCGTTTTTCAGATATCCGCGAAAAACCGCAGGGGGGGGGGGGGTGTTCAAAAACCTCCCCCCCCCCTCCCAGCAGGCGCGGGTTATTAAAGGGACCCTCCCACCTTAGCATTAGATTTGAGTTGAGATAGCCAAAATGGGGTCCCTGGCTCACAATTACCGGTTTCGGCACTCACAACATCGAGAAATGCCTTAAATCGGAAATATTGAATTTCAAAATTGCAGCATTTTGATTCAGAGGGGCTAATGCTTAGGAATACCCCTCTGAATGTGTGACGTCAGCGCAAATATCTAACGATTTTTAAATGTTTGACTAAAACGTTTTGTAGCACGCGGTGGTATATGCTATTTGCGCGCAACATCTGCCGCAAACGCCGCACTTCTAAAATAAAGTCGCTAGAAACAGCGGAGATCCCAAAAAAGTAAACAAAAGTAAAAGTCTAATAGCTTGAAAACCGGTGAATATTTTTCGGTGAAATTTGGTAGATATTCGTTTTCGCTCTTTCTGAACCGAGCGACATCACTTTCATGCCAATTCATAAACTTTTTTGAAGGTGGGAGGGTCCCTTTAACACACTTTGACCATTTGCCCCAGTAGTCAAAATTCCTTAGCCGAGGCCCTGATTTACATCTTGCTGTCATGGCAAGATGCACAATTCAATTTTAGGCAGGCATTGAAAATTTGACGTTAATGGGATGATAAGGGCGTAAGATATCTGCGAAAAACAAGGGGTTGGCGAAATTCGCCCCCCCCCCCCCCGCTTGCACTGTGCGTGTTGGTTGACACGGTCCTGTCCCTTTTCATAAGGTTCAGGTGGCATCCTTCACCAATATTTTTGGCGCTCCTACACCCATGGTTAGTGGCTTGCTAAGAGTAAGATGTCGCCGGCAGAGGCGGGGATCGGCCGACGAGGGAAACGTCATAGTCACATATTGTGTTTGCACCCTAATGGCTAATAGTTAATTTTACCAGTTGATTTTCGTATTTATTTAAACATTAGGTTGCCTGTACATTTTTAAGCCTTCACACAAAATTTGACACGAATCGATCATAATCAGCGGTAAGAAGCGATGTGCAAAGATGGAACCGTCCTGCGCCGGCACAGTCTACCATACAGGCGGCAACGGCCGGTGCCGGCCGCCAAGCCGCTCCGACAGGATGTTTGACTTTACACCGCTATTACTAGAAAAGTTGTGGACCGATTTACCTATTTCTTGCGCGGGAGGATTTGCAATTCGATTTTGGACTGATACTGAAAGTTTGACGCTAATATAATAATTATGGCGTGAGTTATTGGCGATAAACAGGTGGAGTTAGCGAAATCGGCCCCTTCCAACGCCCGTGCTACGTTGCACTACTTGTTGCTATATCATCCAAAGTTATCGTTGGCCCACTCTAATTTTCTCAGCACATGTGCCTTACGTGTAGTGGAAGACAATATCTAAATTTGAGCAAAATCGAAGGGTACCCATTTTTCACAAATTACATTTTAAGAAATTAATTCAAAATAAAATAAATTCAAAATCACCAAAGAATGTAAAAATTGTCAAATTTTACTAGCATAACTCCTTATGTACCCGTTTCAGTTTGTTTGAAATTAATAGCTTCAAAAATGTTGAAGCTATAGATCTTTCAAGATTGCAATACACGTCCAATTCTGCTCAAAAAGCAGAAGTTTAGCGACTTGTATCTCTGTAGCCCGAGGGCATATGACAAAATCCTTTCACCCTCAGAGGTTTTACCCAATAGCGAATAAGTATACCAACTTTGAATAAAATCGCAGAGGTGACCGATTTTGGCTGTCCCGGTTGACATGGAATGCCCCATATATGCAACACCTATGCAATTTGAATGTGCATGGATGCGTATATCTGGAAAAGTTCTTGACGGCGTTCAAAGGGAGTACCATTTTTATGTTCAGGAGGTCAAGGAGCATCATTCCTGAGATTTTGAGCGAAATCGGAGAGGTCCGCCGAACGTGCATATGCAACACCTATGCAATTTGAATGTGCATTGATGCGCATATCTGGAAAAGTTCTTGACGGCGTTCAAAGGGAGTACCATTTTCATGTTCACGAGATCAAGGAGCATCATTCCTGAAATTTTGAACGAAATCGGAGGGGTCCGCCGAACGTCCATATGCATCACCTATGCAATTTGAATGTGCATGGATGCGTAAATCACGAAAAGTTCTTGACGGCGTTCAAAGGGAGTACTATTTTCATGTTCAGGAGATCAAGGAGCATCATTCCTGAGATTTTGAACGAAATCGGAGGGGTCCGCCGAACGTCCATATGCATCAACTATGCAATTTGAATGTGCATGGATGCGTATATCACGAAAAGTTCTTGACGGCGTTCAAAGGGAGTACTATTTTCATGTTCAGGAGGCCAAGGAGCATCATTCCTGAGATTTTGAACGAAATCGGAGGGGTCCGCCGAACGTGCATATGCAACACCTATGCAATTTGAATGTCCATTGATGCGTATATCTGGAAAAGTTCTTGACGGCGTTCAAAGAGAGTGCCATTTTCATGTTCAGGAGGTCAAGGAGCATCATTCCTGAGATTTTGAACGAAATCGTAGGGGTCCGCCGAACGTCCATATGCAACACCTATGTAATTTGAATGTGCATGGATGCGTATATCTGGAAAAGTTCTTGACGGCGTTCAAAGGGAGTACCATTTTCATGTTCAGGAGGCCAAGGAGCATCATTCCTGAGATTTTGAACGAAATCGGAGGGGTCCGCCGAACGTGCATATGCATCACCTATGCAATTTGAATGTGCATGGATGCGTATATCTGGAAAAGTTCTTGACGGCGTTCAAAGGGAGTACCATTTTCATGTTCAGGAGGTCAAGGAGCATCATTCCTGAGATTTTGAACGAAATCGGAGGGGTCCGCCGAACGTGCATATGCATCACCTATGCAATTTGAATGTGCATGGATGCGTATATCTGGAAAAGTTCTTGACGGCGTTCAAAGGGAGTACCATTTTCATGTTCAGGAGGTCAAGGAGCATCATTCCTGAGATTTTGAACGAAATCGGAGGGGTCCGCCGAACGTGCATATGGAACACCTATGCAATTGAATGTGCCTGGATGCGTATATCTGGAAAAGTTCTTGACGGCGTTCAAAGGGAGTATTATTTTCATGTTCAGGAGGTCAAGGAGCATCATTCCTGAGATTTTGAACGAAATCGGAGGGGTCCGCCGAACTTGCATATGCAACACCTATGCAATTTGAATGTGCATGGATGCGTATATCTGGAAAAATTCGTGACGGCGTTCAAAGAGAGTGCCATTTTCATGTTCAGGAGGTCAAGGAGCATCATTCCTGAGATTTTGAACGGAATCGGAGGGGTCCGCCGAACGTGCATATGCAACACCTATGCAATTTGAATTTGCATGGATGCGTATATCTGGGAAAGTTCTTGACGGCGTTCAAAGGGAGTGCCATTTTCATGTTCAGGAGGTCAAGGAGCATCATTCCTGAGATTTTGAACGAAATGGGAGGGGTCCGCCGAACGTCCATATGCAACACCTATGTAATTTGAATGTGCATGGATGCGTAGATCTGGAAAAGTTCTTGACGGCGTTCAAAGGGAGTAATATTTTCATGTTCAGGAGGTCAAGGAGCATCATTCCTGAGATTTTGAACGAAATCGGAGGGGTCCGCCGAACGTGCATATGCAACACCTATGCAATTTGAATGTGCATGGATGCGTATATCTGGAAAAGTTCTTGACGGCGTTCAAAGGGAGTGCCATTTTCATGTTCAGGAGGTCAAGGAGCATCATTCCTGAGATTTTGAACGGAATCGGAGGGGTCCGCCGAACGTGCATATGCAACACCTATGTAATTTGAATGTGCATGGATGCGTATATCTGGAAAAGTTCTTGACGGCGTTGAAAGGGAGTGCTATTTTCATGTTCAGGAGGTCAAGGAGCATCATTCCTGAGATTTTGAACGAAATCGGAGGGGTCCGCCGAACGTCCATATGCAACACCTATGTAATTTGAATGTGCATGGATGCGTATATCTGGAAAAGTTCTTGACGGCGTTCAAAGGCAGTATCATGTTCATGTTCAGGAGGTCAAGGAGCATCATTCCTGAGATTTTGAACGATATCGGAGGGGTCCGACCATGTCCGACAAATTTGCTTTATGTGTGGCAAACTCGAATATCCCTTGTATTTAACTATTAGCTGTATAAAAGAGGTTTTGACGCTTGTTTTACATTTTGGTACAGCAACGCCCCTTGGATTTCAGTATATCGTTTTTGTAGGAGGTAGTGCGAATGTCCATCATAAATATAAAGCTGTCACGTGTCAAATAGCGCCAAAAGGTGAGAAAAGGTACATGACCTTGAACGACCTTGAACTTTAGATGCTCATCCTGAGAAAACTATGGGACGGCGTTAAGTACAAATTAGTTTTTTGGGATCAGCGCTTATGTTTACATCAACTCAGGAGTTTTTGAAAAATTTGGAGGGGTCCGATTTTTCCAATAAGGGTTACGGTCCAGAATATGTTAGCAGTAATACAAATGTGAATATTTTGAGAACCACTTGACGGCGTGAAATAAAAACATGATTTTCGCAATCAGGAGCTCAAAATCTATAAGCTGTGCAATTTTGAGCCAAATCTGAGGGGTCCGCGAATGTGCACGCGAATCTGAATGTGAATATAATGCAACTTTATGCACGTCCTGGATCGGACCTACCTGTTTCTTATAGGTATCTTGGGTTACGCCATGTCTGACCGATTTTACCGGCTACGCCCCCGCGTTCCCTAACCATTCTGCGCACCATGGCCTTGGGACTGTGACCTCTTACTTCTCAGCAGCGGTGGGGTGCGGGGAAGTTGCTCGAACAGGAAAAGGACGCTGAAGCTGGGGACAAACGACTGAAGTTAAACTGCTGCTGGATATAAGTGCATTGAATCAGTCGGGCGCACTATGGTATCGGCAGTCCATTTATAGAAACGTTTCTATTTTTGGAAGAAAGTTCCAAAAATGGAAACGCTAAAAACCAACTGTTCCAATAATGGAAACGCTCCGTTTCTATTTTCGGAAACGCAAGGAGCACATAAACCTGTTCGGTAGTTTCCGCAATAAACCATAGATTTCCGCATCAAACAAAGGCCACCAATCAAAAGACAGCATTTCGCTTCATAATTCCAACGTTGAACAGAAAAATCGGCTGTTGAACAGGCTTGCACGGTCCACTTCCTTTTGTAAACAATAGAATTTTTCATGATAGGTGAACTTTTATGTGTCATTAATGAAATATACCTCATTTTTTTGTGGAAAAATTTGATTTTCACAAGAATGGCAATGTTTTAATTGACAGACTTGCTGTCTGGTATTCATTAATATTTTACATTGCTGTAAAGCAAGCCCTGAATGGCGTGTTGGTGACCACGTGCGGAGATCGTCTCTCCGGCTTTGGAAGGCGGTAAGTTGGAAAATATTTCGTACAGATGCTTCTAAGTGGGCAAACTGAACTTCTTAGCACCCATTTAACTTACGAATGTGTGAAAGTTGGTAGAATGTATGTAAATAATTGCATTAAAGGTCTGATATGTTACTGCTTGTCGGAAGCGATCCAAGCTGTCGTCCAGTTTTAAACGATTCAATTATATGAAAAAGCGATGACAAGGTGTTATAAACAATTTCTATGGATAGGGAAATGCTCAAACTGTACTAATTGCCCATTTTGCACCGTATTAGTTCAGTAGGCCTTCAGTTAGTGCCTGTGTAAGGCCCATTGAATAATGCTTTATGAAGCACAGTTTCCATTTTTGGAACAAATGACAAATTTTAACTCAAGCTGTACATACAGCTCACAGATGCAGTAGGTTATAAGTATTTCAACTCTTATTTGCATTTAATGTTTTTAGAAGCACTTTCTGCCTTTCTCATTTCTAATAATCCACGAGAAGGTTGGAAAAGGTGCACCCTCCGACAGCATGAAATGCGAACCGAAGCTTCTGAACCGACCTGATTAGGCCGAAGTTTAACTCCAACCTTACTTATAAAGCCTTGCTTTTCTTGGGAAGCCAGAGTCTGTTAACCACAATTCAGGGCACATCGCGACGCTTACTGCAGTCACGCATGCATGCTTGCAACAGTTAAAATATGTTATAATGTGGGTTTCGTAAGCAGTAGCAGCTTAGTAGGCAAGAGGGTTGGACAGTTCTGGGGTTTATGTAGGTGCCCAGAAATTGGGGACTTTCCCCAGAAGACACATTTCCGTCAGCATTATTGTACCAACATCGGCTTTCGGGCACTATGCCCAAGCAATTGGAGGACCATTCATACGAAGTTTAGATGCAAAGGGAAATCACCCATATCAGAACATGTACCGGCATCAATAGCTCGGCAATTACTAAGAGGGCGTGGGGTAGACAGGCCCACATATCAATAATATGGTGCTTATGCCTTTTCCTGTGTTGGCTCATAGTTTCCATTTTTGGAACCTTCCGTTTCCAAAAATGGAACGTTGACAAGGGTTTGCGTCAGGGCATCAGATTCGCCATTTGCGCACGATAATATTGTTGGATTATACTGTTTTGGGAGAAAACATATCGACGAAAAGACAAGCCAGCTGAAAAGATTACTATTAACTTAAGAAATACAGAAATATGCCTGCTTAAAAATTGGCGTTTCTAATTTTGGAACTGGCGTTTCCATAAATGGAACAAAGTGCCTTCCAAATTTGGAAACGTTTCCTTTAATAGATACGTATCCATAAATGGACTGCCGATACCATAGTGCGCCCGACTGGAATTTGTTACCTGCTTGGTTGTTTGTTAATTAGAGGTAGGTATTTCAAATTGTGTTGGTCAATTACTGGCAGGCCAGCCCACGCCCAATCCTGGGCCCAATCTTACCAAATTCCGTGAATGCGCATTCACAGCATTTGGTAACATTCAAAACTATTCCACATTCACTTATTCTTTCGCTTAGGCAACATTCATAATCATTCGCGCTATCAAAATAATTGGACAACATTAGCTGGATGTAATGAAAAAGGATATCTTTGGTATCAGTGCCGTGAACTGCAGCCAGTGCTACCAAATCCTATTCACGGCATTGGTAAGATTGGGCCCTGATCAATGTTGATGCTCATTCATCACATTTTCAGAAGCTTGTAATGAGTGTGACAGTAAATTCATTCTTACAATTTCAATTCGTATTCATGTGGTTTTGAGCCTCAATGACCATTTCAACGGTGCATTACATGAAGAAATTTATATTGGCAGGGAATGGTGCTTAAGTTGCAAGGTGCATGTAAAGGAGTTCTAGCATCATTACCTACCATGGGTGTAGAACTTGTGAAATAATCATAGTTAATCATCACAAACACTTACCTTGTGGCAAAATTGATGAAAATGATAATATTTAAGCTAACATTGTATCATTGCTTTAGCTCAATGGGATGGGCTGTGGTATTAACTGGGTAATTTGCCAGCTGGCGCCGTATGATGGTGCTAGCAGAGCTGGTTATATATCAATGCTAGATATACAAGACTAAATATCTATGTAATGATTTGTTTATTAGTGCATTTTTACATGTTTATGTCCATCTACTACCATGCTTAAATCCAAATGTCAATGGCTATCGTACGTTGCCAGATGGCCAGCCAGATGATGCAATCCAGATATTACTAAGGCCCAATGGTAGTTTGTTTTAAAATTACTGCACCACAATTGTATTGAAACAAGTTTTCAAGAATAGAAATAAATATTACTTCCACCATAATGCAAGTAACATTATAGGCTCAAACAAACCTTGTAAAATCTTGCAAGTTTTCATGAATTCTGCTCTCTTAAAAACCTCTCATTCTATACAGCCCTAAAAGATACATGGGTTTCCACTTTCCAAGCAGTGCCACTGATGAAACCTCCATTGAAGTCCAGAAGCTTACCTAGTTCCTGATGCTTGATCATGCCAACTGTTCATACATATCTCTTCTTAGTTGGATGGCTTAGACCTCAGTCACATGCTGGGCTGGATGAATATCAATCCTATTTAGTTTTTGGGACCTCCTTCCAGGATAAAAAAGCTGTTCTGTGCTGGTCAAGCACTGCTAGAGATTTTTAGAGCTGCTAGCTTCTTATCCCGGCAGTTGCTGGGGTATTTCGCCACCCACCGTTTGCTGGGGGGGGGGGGGGCGTTAAACGCCCCCAGCCGATAACTCGAGAACCAATAGGCGCAGCGAAACGCACGAGGTGGCAAACGAAAGAGCGCGACGAGACGCTTCAGATGAGTACTTTAAAGTTGAATTTTGAGGTCACAGGTCGGGTCAAGGTCAGGTCAAACACCTGAAATCGGGCTTTCAGTAGCATGGACTTCAGGACTTCGCAATGGGAGCCTCTCGTCATAAACTCTGTCAAAACTGTGCACAATCCATCATATAAGGCCTACAAGAGTGTCAGCTCCATGTAGGGGTCAGTCAAGCATAGGTCAGGGTCAAGGTCAGGTCAACCGGGTAGGCACATATCCCCGAAAATCAAACTGATATTCGCAGCCCGTGACACATGTTTTATGGGTAATTTGGGGCGTAGAACACGATGGTGACATTCATTTTATCATATGTGTACGTGTTTGGCTCAAAAAGTTCAATTTAAGAAATGCATGTATCATGGTCGTGAAGTAGTCACGAGAAATTGCCAAGATTCAGTTCAAGATTTTGGAAAATGCAGAACGATAATCAATAATCGAAGATAGCCATTTGATTGTTCATGGTATTGGCAGTCTAATGGCGTTTACTGCTGTCTGTATGTCTGTTCTGTGATTTTATATGATTTTTTGAACATATGCCGTTTTTGGTCGAAAACTCAGAAATCATGACGTCACTAAAACCTCGATATCTCAATTTTTTTTTTTTTCGGACCGATTTTTTTGAAACTTTGTCACAATAAACTTCAATCAATTCCCTACAGGTACCCAAAATTTGGCGCGCCTGCGGCGCGCCGTTTTTATGCTATGGCCCGGCGAAAAAAGTGGGGGCGTTTAACGCCCCCCCCCCCCCCAGCAACTCGCGGGTTATGTCACAGTTTATGAATTTGGATGCATTACCTGCATATTAACATTCATGAGCAGCCCACAGTTGGCAGATATGGGAATTGCTGCTCATGATGTGACTGATGCTAAGTGGATCATGCAGCTGGCACCTGGCTACCTGTTGGTTGGAACTTGTTTCAAATATTCCCTTAGAAATGCCCCAGTTGTGTAATAACTGTTACATAGTTAATAAGTCACTGAAGCTTAAGCTGTCTCCAAAATTTATACATCTCAATGAAGTTTTTATGTCTATATTTCTCCAAAAGCACTCCAAAAGGTGTTGTCTCTTAAGTGACACTTGAAGGAACTGGTAGGGATGCTACAAATTCTTCCTCTGACATGTCAAATGGCTTGGGTTATAGCTAGTTGCTGCTAGTGCCTAGTGGTCATTCTTATTTGGGCACCTATGTATAATGTGTCATTGAAATAAAAAAGCCAGTTTTTTTGTTAGCTATTTGAAACTTGATACACTGCTCTTCATCTCAGTATTTATACTGTTTTGCTTATGATTTTGCTCGCCTCGCTACTTCCAGGAAGTAGCAGCAAATGCCTATCGTCACCTGACGCAGTGGGCATTTGATACCACTGTTTCCATTTCAGGCCCTGTGTAAGGACTGGCAAAAGTCGCCATGCAGCGCGCCCTGATGAACCGGAGGGCGACCTCCTCCCTCGACGCACAGCGCATCGAGTTTGAGAAGGCTCAGGTGCGTATTGTATGGATTGAAAAGGCTAAGCTGTTTATGGTATGCACAGTGACTTAAAACTCCATTTATTACGCATGCGGCCGACCATCGCGATTTGTTTCGTCAGAGCAGGACCAAGGTGTCGTAACTGAGTGGCATACTATGAGATAGCTGCAATGAATGATAGTAGGTAGCTCGTTTTATGACTGTTGATAAGATAGTCAAAGGCATAACAAAGTGTGCGTTGAGATGATGTGTGATAGGCTGGCATTGTCAGCTCCGGGTGTTACGACTCTTTGCTGCTCGATCTCAGCATCTCAATCAGAGCCAGTGTGGCTGCTGTGTTTTCTCGGTCCCGTATAATTGCAGAGGAGACATTTATCATACGATACGTCATCTGTTGAGCAATCGCCTTTGCTATGCGGTTCAAATGGTTGTCTCGGTGGTCGGCTTTGCTCGCTGCTATTTTACCGTACCAGTGCCCTTTCTCCGCCCCGAGTTTCATTTCCCGGCCCACGTTTCTTTCCCCCTCACTCCATACCGTTCTGTCGGTCAACCACTGCATGCTTACATACTTACATATGTATTGTCTCCCGTTCTACAGATGCAGCACTTCTCCAAGGCGACCAGCTCGCAGGAGCTGCCCGTTAAAACCAAACACGTGCGTGGTCTGATTATCGGCACGCACCACGAGCGGTCGGCGCACACGTTCTGGTCGCTGGCCGAGCGGATACCACTGCAGGACCACCCGATCACGTGCTGGAAATTCTGCCACGTGCTGCACAAACTGCTGCGAGAGGGCTACCGCAGCACGGTCCGGGACACCTTCAACCGGCGAGAGATGCTGCGCGAACTGGCCGGATTCTGGGTGAGAGCGAGAGGGATTACTGGAGGGAATAATGCTCGTTTACCTGTTAATTGTTCATGATCCTCCTTTGTCATGCAGAAGTCGTTCAAAAAGGTAACAACTGACTGGCCTGGCCGCTCGGATTGTTTGACTAACGTGTCATACAAGTGTTTATTCATTGCCTAACCATGCATTTCCGATCTTGTTTTTTTAATCGTATGCTGAACGAGGAGATGTAATGGCAATTTTGTCATTGATTTGATATTGCGTTATCTTTCTCCATATAATGCACCCATTCCTGCTCATTGTCATCGGTACTACTGACTTGTTAAATGCCGACCGATGCTCCCGTCGTGACACCCAGCCCGCTCCGTTCTCAGGGCCACCTTCCGGACGCCTACGGAAAGCTAATCGAAAGCTACATCCAGGTGCTGCTGGCAAAGCTGCGCTTTCACGGAAAGTACGCCGGCTTTCCGGGCACGCTATCACTGAGCGACGACGACCTGGAGAAAATGGGCGAGAACGATCCCAACAGCTACTTTGAGATGGCCGTGGATATTCTGGATTACCTGGAGGCCATCGTCAATATGCAAACTGCTGGTTAGTGCAGCTGAGGGGATGAGAGCTGAATGGCTCGGAAACGGGGAACAGTGGCTTTCGATTTGTGCCGATACTCGTAACGTCAATGAACGCAGAATGTACTGAGCTTTAGTTCTCTCGAAATTCTCATTTTACTTATTCTTAAGGTCGGTTTCCTCAATACCATACCCATGTTTCGTTATTTTCTAGTATCACAATAGACGACAAACTCACCAGTCACCACCCTACTGTCTGGATTATTATAGTCTATCGCGACGGTACTGTATATCCGTCCGGTGCGGCATGCCTTCCCTTCCGGTCGGGGTCACAGCCCGCCGACCGCCGTGTCACCGTCACCGTTACCCTCAGCCGTGACGGCCGCTGTGCCGCGCCGGCCGTGCATGGGCGCACGTCCGTGACTGCCAGCCGTCTGTGGTATACGCGTCTGCGGTGAACCGGTATACGGACGTCTGGATATGTCCGTTATGACTCCGTGGATGGCTCTGATATGATATCCCACTTCTGAAAGTGTTTGACCTCATGGACTGTCTCTCTCTAACGCACCCTTAGCAGTTTCCCTGTGACTGCCTGTCGTCGTTCTGACCCACCTTCGTGCTTCCCAACAGCATTCTGAGCGCTGGTTGTGTGAATCACGACTCCCTGTCCCTGTCGCCGCTCTAGACTTACCCGCCTGGCCTATTCTTTCCGGCAGTGTTTGGCTCTCTGGACATGTCCCGTTCGTCGTCGATGACCAAGGAGGGCCAGTGTCGGCTGGCGCCGCTCATACCCTGCATTCAGGACTCGATCGCTCTCTACAACCACGCCATGAAGATCATGTTCCGACTACACTCACGTGAGATTCCGACGACGGACCGATGGGTGATGAGCATGACACTTAACCGGGACAATGACCACTAGACGGTGACCTTGACGTCCTGTGACACAAGCAGTGACGGCTGTAAATGACCGTGACGTGAAGCTGTGACGCTGGCGTATGTTGCCTTCGACTGTCATTCCTCTGTGCGACCTTGTCATATTTACGTCTGACTGTCCTGCGTCATCTCTGTCTTCCTCGTTACGTTTGAACTGACCAGGCTGCTCTACTAAATGTCTCCGTCTCCCTTATATGGACTATGGCGGTCCTACGTGGTTGCGTCAACTGCCAATATCGCAATCTCAGCTAATTTGCGTCAGATCGATACACTGCGATAGGTTGTTGACTTTCGTCGTAATCTATGTTCGATCGTGACTTATCGAACAAATGACTATCACGTGAGGTTTTGATAACGGGGTGATAGCGAGGCGATAAGTGGCTGAGGTGCGTCCGACTGACACACTGCGCGGTATTGTTGACGTTCGTCACGACCTGATGTGTTTCGTTTTGACAAACTATAACTACAGATAAGGTATTGATCAAGATTGTATTGATAACCGACCAGGGTGTTTCGCTACTCGTAGCCAGATTGGGGGAGTAGGGTGTTCCCAAGATCGTCAGCCGTTGTGTATGGGAAGAAGTGTGAGTGGGTGAGTCAGGTAACCGCTGACGCATCCCAAACGTTCTGTTTGCTCCTTTTGTGAGACTGATGCGCCTCAATCCATCCTACTAAATGATTCGTCGGACGTTCTGACGGAGTTCTGTTCTCGCTGCCGTCAGTTCTTCCCCCGGATCTACTATCGGGGCACAGACAGCGCTTCAACAAGCTGTTCACGGCACTCAAACAGTTCTACGCCAAGTCGGCCAACTTGCAGTACTTCAAGACGCTCATCCAGGTGCCCCAGCTGCCCGATGTGAGTGGAGTGTGCTACACAACCTCTGCAGCTGTATGGGTGCCTAGTGAAAGCCTAGGCTAGGTAGTGGTTCCTAAAGGGCTTGATGTGTTTTGGCAGAATCGATCGGCACGAAACTCCATTGTTAATTGTTTCATTTACTTCAGCAATATCCTAAGCGCTGACGTCAACGATCGGTGTTAAGCGTTTACCGACGCCCTTTGCCATTGAATGGTTATATATTCTGCGGTATGCGTATTTCGTCCTGTGTTATCCTTCTCCAATACAGGCATCGAATCTAACTCCATCGGTCTCTAAGTTTTGGGTTCCATGACAACTGAACCAGTGACAACTGAACCAGTGACAACTGAACCAGGGTCAACTGAACCAGTGACAACTGAATCAGTGACAACTGAACCAGTGACAACTGAACCAGGGACAACTGAACCAGTGACAGCTGAACCAGTGGACCACTGAACCAGTGGACAACTGAACCAGTGGACAACTGAACCAGTAGACAACTGAACCAGTGTCAACTGAACCAGTGACAACTGAACCAGTGACAACTGAACCAGTGACAACTGAACCAGTGACAACTGAACCAGTATGACAACTGAACCAGTATGACAACTGAACCAGTATGACAACTGAACCAGTGACAACTGAACCAGTGACAACTGAACCTGTGACAACTGAACCAGTGACAACTGAACCACTAACCAGTAGCCCAGCAAGCAATTTTACTCCGGGCCCAAGCAGGCTGAAGTGCGGCTTGCCCGAGATTTTTAGTCGGGCTAAAGTCGGCTAGCGCTTGGACCTAGCGCTTGGACGCCTAAAGTCGGCTAGCGCTTGGGCTAAAGACTAAAGTCGGCATATGACACAAAAACGCCGTCTAAAGCCCATGCTCTGCCGGAGGTATGACCTCTGGGCCTCTCGGCGAGCTCAGGACAGCCGTTGTTTAGCCCTAGTTGTGCGACGTTTGGCGTAAGCCCGATGTAAGCCCGAGCAGTGAATCCATTTATATACCGGAGATTCCTCTGGGCCCAGGCGGGCTGAACTCTGCCAAGCCCACGTTGCGTGCCCTGTCTGTCCCGAGTTAGGCCATCAAAGTGAACATTATTTATACGTTGCTAACTATTCGGGCGTCCCAGGTGGGCGTAACGGTTACCACACCAGTTCGCGACCACCAGGCTCTGTCAGCCCTGTCAGCCGTCGTACGGCTCTCGGCTCAACTAATGTCGGACGGTGCTCCCGGCTCAACTAACTAATGCTCTCGGACGGACACTAATAGATCAGACACAGATCAATTGGCAGACCGGCAGATTGGCACAGACCGTCCATCCAGCCACGCGCTACCTTATACCTATACAGCGCAGTACGACAGTAATTGTCCGCTGGTTCAGTTGTCCGCTGGTTTAGTTGTCCGCTGGTTCAGTTGTCCACTGGTTCAGTCGTCCACTGGTTCAGTTGCCACACTGGTTCAGTTGTCACTGGTTCAGTTGTCACTGGTTCAGTTGTCACTGGTTCAATTGTCTACTGGTTCAGTTGTCACTGGTTCAGTTGTCCACTGGTGCAGTTGTCCACTGGTTCAGTTGTCACTGGTTCAGTTGTCCCTGGTTCAGTTGTCACTGGTTCAGTTGTCGCTGGTTCAGTTGTCGCTGGTTCAGTTGTCACTGGTTCAGTTGTCGCTGGTTCAGTTGTCACTGGCTCAGTTGTCACTGGTTCAGTTGTCCCTGGTTCAGTTTTATTGGTTCAGTTGTCACTGGTTCAGTTGTCTGCCTACCAAGTTTTGTCCGTACAGATAGTGTGTATTCCGTCCGTTGGGCGGCGCCACTGACGGCCACCCTCACTCTCTGCAGAGTCCACCGAACTTTTTCCGGTCGTGCCAGCGCAGCGACCAGGTGGAGGCGGCCGTCATCCTACCTGAGGAGGAGGAGGAGGAGGTCGACCTGCTGGTCGACATGTCAGACACCGCCAGCACTGTCGACAGGTGCGGGGAGCGACGGGGCGACGGGGCATCAGCGGGGTGACTATAAGCGTTTTGATGTTGTAAAGGACATGCCCTTGGACGGTTATAGGGATCAGGAGCACGGAAAGGACGAATGGGGAAAATGGAGGTCAGGGTCTGGGATTTGGCTGGAAAATTTTGCCGGCATGTAGTAGATTACGTTGATTTGCACAGAATTGCCGGCCTGGCAAGGTTTCCTTGCGTTTAGCTGAGTGCAGCAGGGTAAGGCTGGATCAAGGCTGTATACTTCTAGCTGGGCAATGTTATGGCCTATCACCCTGTATATTTTCAGCCAGCTATGCGTTTCCATATGTCGGTGCCTCTGTCCGGTGTGTGCTGACGTCGATTCCCTTCTCCAGCCGCCTGGTGACCCCGCTGGACGTGGTGGACGAGCCGCCGCCGCCGCCGCCCCCGCCGCGGCCGGACGTCGAGGAGCAGCTGCGACACCAGCTGCTGGCGCGGCAGCAGGAGGCAGCTGCCCTGCGCAGCCGCGCCGAGCAGCTGGAGATGCAGCTGGCCGAGCGCGAGAGTCTGCTGCTGGCCGAACAGGAGAGTCGCGCCGAGCTGGCGGCGCGACTGGCCGCCGGCGAGCGCACGGCCGCCGCCGCCGCCGCGCAGGCCGGCCGGGCCGCCGAGGAGAAGTTCCAGAAAATGAAGGGCGTCTACCAGCAGCTCCGCGAGGAGCATATTCGGCTGATCCGGAAAAAGGCGGAGGTGGACCAGCAGGTACTGGCGCAACAGGAGGCGCGCCAGAGGGCCGAGTCGGCGCACAGCGCGCTGCAGGAGCAGCTGAGCAGCGTCTCGGAGCAGCGCTCCGTGGCAGAGGAGCAGCTGCAGCGGTCCGAGGCGCGCTCCGCCGAGCTGGCCAACCTGCAGGTCAGCAGACTGTGGGAGAGGGGGGAGGGGATGGACAGGACGGTGGGGGAATCATTGAGGCGGGGCAGCAACAGTAAGGGATGGGCTGGGTTAGGGGACTGAAAGGGTTAGGTCAGGGGAAACGCGGCGCCGGGCCGGTCAAAGCAGAAGGGATTCGTGGCAGGGAGGGGAAGTGAGATATGGAAACCGTGTAATCTGGTTCTTAGCTTTATTTGCGCAGTTTATATTTTTAGTTTTACTTCTTGCATTGCTTTTGCGCTTCTGCGCTTCTTACCAGTTGCCATGACCAGACGTGACCATGCCTTATGGCGCGACTCCACCCGTGCCTTGTCTAGAGATATGTCTTGACTCCAGAGAGACGAGCGACACCCTCGTTGTTTTGTGCCCTGACCGTCCCCCCCCCCCCTCCTCGGCCTCTCCCCCACAGTCCGAGCTGCAGTCGTCACGCAGTCGATGTGCAGAGCTGGAAGCCGAGCTGCAGGTACAGACCACTCAGGCGCGCCTGTCTCAGGTGGACAGCGACGAGCAGCAGGCGCGCTGTCGTCAGCTGCAGACAGAGCTGGAGGCTGAGAGACAGCGGCACCGGCAGCTCAACGACCAGCGGGCGGCCGCGGAGCTCGGTAAAGGGGTGGGGCATTGGTGGGATGGGTGAATTAGTGGGACGGGGGGGGGGGGCGGTAACCCGCCTAGTTACCAATTAAAAAAGCAACGGCATGTATTCTACAGTTTTTTCCTGGGTTGGCGTATTCGTAGTCAAATTGCTAAACAAAAAATCGGTTATGCTATATGTCCACTCATTGACGAGTTTTCGATAATGCAACGACCTTGGGCTGTCAGTTGACTACTCTGATTGTATAGAGAGTTGGAGACCTAATGGTTACCTCACCTGACCGTGTGGTGACCCCGTCTGACCTTTCCCGTGACCTCCGCCAGGTGACGCCGTCTCCACGGCCGAGCAGATGGTCCAGGGAGCCCTGGACGAGTGCGACAACCCCATGTTCTCCGCCGTCACCTGCACGCCAGGTGAGAAATGGGGTCGGGCTCTGGGAGCGCCGGCGTGAGCGTGCTGGTGTTTTGCATAGATATCTGGAATTTAGCCCGCATGTAATGATGGAACATCTGGGATTATTGGTCCAGAGCATATCAGTTTGCCGCTCGATGATCTTGACGTAGTCTTTCTTAGAAAACCAGCTCAACCTTTATTCTGTCGGTATGTTTTCTCATGTTTGAAGTAAATTTGACAATCAGCTCCTGGCGTACCCGAACAGACTCTCACTCGCCTGAATCCAGCCTCGCGCGGACCCTCGCTGATCCTCACTGACTCTGACTAACCCTCACTGCCTCTCCCGCAGAGTACCTGCTGAGTCTGGTGCCGGCGCTGGAGGCGTGCCTGCCCCCGCTGGCCGCCTCCCCCGAGACACTGACACCGGAGCAGCGCGGCAAGATGCTGATGTTTGCCCACCTGACGGCCCAGTTCCTGCTGCACGGCCGGGCCACGTCCAGTACCAGTCCCAACATTCAGCTGGGAGAAGGTAAGGACCAACCAGTCCCAACATACAGCTGGGAGAAGGTACGGGCTGCTGCACAGTGGGGAAAATGGAACTAGCAGTCAATTCTGAAGAACTTTGCATTGCATATGAAGTCCGATTAATTTATTCAGCATTCTTTCTTATCTCATGTAGGTGCGGACCGTTGTGGAAGCCATGTTTCAACAACTATCTAGTTGGCCAGGGGGATATCTGAACAACGCCGCTCTGACTGCTGTTACTCTTCAATCTGTTAGCGCTGATGTCTCTACCTAGTAATGACGACCTACCTCTGACCGCTACCCTCCCCCTTCCCTCCCCAGAGATGTGGTCGGCGTGCGGCGGTGTAGCCTCGGCCACCCTCCAGCTGCTCTCCGCCTGCCGGTCGGCGGCCGACCGCGGCCCGCAGGCGGGCGCCGTGCGCTCCGAGCTGGCCCGGCTGGCCGAGCTCACCCGGCGGGTGACGGACTCGCTGCAGGCGGTCAGTGCCGAGCAGATCGCCTCCATGGTGGAACAGGAGATGTCGGCAATGGACAGCGCCATCGAGGCCGCCGCCGCGCGGATACAGGTACGGGACGGGTGGGGCGGGAGGGGACAGTTAGGGTGCTGTTTTCTTCAGGAGTGTGAGGGATATGGAGAGAAGGAAGGGGTACCTATGACACGTTGGAGGGAGGTAGAAATACCAGAGTGAGGCGTTTAGTTCAAGGAAGGGAGGTTGGAATGAGAAAACACTCGAGGGAGATGGTGTTAGGTCAGAGAAAGACTCTGAACCCATTCCAGTCATGTTGCTGCACGTTGCAGGGCTGCAACGTGCAAGGTGGCTCCACCTCACTTGCCGCGGATCCGTGACGAATCTGACAGCTCCTTGACCGTCCCCTACGTCCTGCGCCTGCACAGGAGATTCTGACGGCGTCTCGGTTGGCCGACTCGGGTCTGAAGCTGGAGGTCAGCGAGAAGATCCTCGACTCGTGCACGGGTCTGATGCGCGCCGTCAAACTGCTGGTACAGCGCAGTCGTGACCTGCAGGCTGAGATCATCGCACAGGGCAAGGTTAGTGTCTGGGGGAGCCATGGAAGGGACAGAGTGAGGGCCGGGAGCGTCGCTGGGGACAGGTTAAGAGGTTGGAGACCGGACTAGAGCATCACCAGTGGCAGAGTCTAATGGCTTGGGGAATGCATTTGATGGCTGATGGCAAGGAAGGGACATTAGGGTTTAGGAGTATCACTCGTAGCGAGAAGAGGACGCACAATTTGTGATACACCTTGCTGAGTTGGCGAAGAACGTCAGTTGTCGCTTCTATGAAACGCTGACCCCTTCCGCAGAACCGGCCAGGCTTACCGTGCTGTTCTCTGCCCGTGCCAACGTCAAGCCAGGCCTCCGTGCGTCTCCCCGTGACTGCACGATGTTATAATTGTTGACTTTCTCAGTGAGCACAGTTCGGTGCTCTCGCAATGTCCTCGCTCCCGTCTCGTCTCTGTCTATCTCTCCCCGCTCACCATTCCCCGTCTATATCTATCTCTCCCCGCTCACCATTCCCCGTCTCTGTCTATCTCTCTCCGCTCACCATTCCCCGTCTCTGTCTATGTCTCCCCGCTCACCATCCGTCTCTGTCTATCTCTCTCCGCTCACCATTCCCCGTCTCTGTCTATGTCTCCCCGCTCACCATTCCCCGTCTCTGTCTATCTCTCCCCGCTCACCATTCCCCGTCTATATCTATCTTTCCCTGCTGACCGCTCCCCGTCTCTGTCTATGCCTCCCCGCTCACCATTCCCCGTCTCTGTCTATCTCTCACCGCTGACCATTCCCGTCTCTGCCGTCCATCAGGGCACGGCGTCGCCGACCGAGTTCTACAAGCGCAACCACCGCTGGACCGAGGGCCTCATCTCGGCCGCCAAGGCAGTCGGACTGGGCGCCAAGTCGCTGCTGTACGTATCTCGGGGAGTACCAGACACGGGTGATCAGCGTATGCTGGATATTGTTTGTGGTTTGTAGATAAGTTTGAGGGTCTCTCCACCTTGAACGTGGATTTTGGTATGACTGACGGGATGTTCCTAGTTCGACATTTAATTAGATAGTCGCTGTCTGTGACTGTCTTAGAATCGTCATAAAATGCAGCACTAAAGAGCATTTTGCGTGTTATATGAACCCCACCCCAGTGTGTTCAGCCTGTGCCCGCCACCCAGCAGTCAGCCAGCCTCGCAGTACCCGTGCCCTTGCCCCGCTAGCATCCTCTGCCCCTGTACTAGCTGTCCACCAACCACCCCATACGGCCCTTAGGGACGCCGCTGACCGGCTGGTGAGTGGTAACGGCAAGTTCGAGGAGCTGATCGTGGTGACGCACGAGATCGCTGCCTCCAGCGCTCAGCTCGTCATCGCGTCAAAGGTCAAAGGTGAGTAACGCCAGCTGGTTACAGCGTCCAAGGTCAAAGGTGAGACTCCAGCGGCCAGCTGTTAAAAGGCGAGAAACTCCATTTACTGATGGTGATAGCGTCTTAGGTCAGAGGTAAGTAACTCAAGGGCCCAGCCCCACATCTTGCTTATTCTCTCCCATCAGATTCACTCCTTGTACGTTTTCTTGTGCCACGGTTTGTGACCCTTATTACTGCCGGTGTGCCCCTACCCACGATTTGACTCCCTGTACCCGCGCTCTGACCCCGTATCCCGCCCCGCAGCTGACCGGCACAGCCAGAACCTGGCCAACCTGGGCCAGGCGTCTCGCGGAGTCTCTGAGGCCACTGGCTCTGTGGTGGCCACCGCCAAATCCTGCATGGAGCTGGTCGAGGACAAAGGTACGACTAAATGCTGCTGCATCGGTCCGGGCCTGGGACTGTGTGATGATCATCGCGGTTGGGTTGACTCCTTGCATACAGTCGTTTTAAGATAAGCTGATAATGAAATGATGACCCGGCTCCCCTCTTTGCGTTGCTGGTAATTATAAAGTGATGCAGAGCCCCTAGTTGCCGGCCGCCTTCGTCACAGGGGAAATGACACCCTATAAGGATCAATCACTGCAGTAGTATTTAGCGTTGGTGATCTAACATAACACGTCTATGCTTTCTTGCAATCCAGTGGACTGCTTATCTGTACCGCCCGTGACCTAACCTTTTACCACTTTTTTCCCCGCAGCGGCGCTGGACTTCAGTAACCTGTCGCTACACCAGGCCAAACGTCAGGAGATGGAGGCCCAGGTGCGGGTCCTGGAGCTGGAGGCTCAGCTGCAGCGGGCCCGGGTGCACGTGTCGGCTCTGCGCAAACAGCACTACCAGCTGGCTGGCGAGCTGGAGGGATGGGAGGAGGTGGATTCGCCGCCCCTCTAGGATCGCCCGCCGGCCGCTGACTGGTCTCAGGGGACGGGCGCACGGAGCGACAGCAACGAAACCTGCAGGGCGGCGAGCTTGGTGGGCGTGTGATCGAGTGTGTGTGTGTGAGAGAGGCGAGCGGCAGCGGAGGCGGACGCGACACACGGGACTCGGCGGGGAGACACTGGGCGGGTAGACCTCAGTCTAAGCAACAAGAGCGGAAACCAACGAAGTCAGCCAGATTCTGGGTTCTGCTGTAAGTGATGAAACGCTTCGGATGTCGTCTGTCCCGAGACGATATAATACGAGCCGCGGCTGACTACAATATACGATGTCACACTGCTCCGGATAATACGATATGACGTCACGACACGGTATGACGTCACCCACTGCCGCCGCTCTTGTTATTCTGTAGCGCATCGCTCTCTCGCCCGCCGCCGCCGCATGAAGCTAACTATGCTGTTACGAATTGTATTTTTCTGCGTGCGTTTTCGCATATTTTGCTGCACCGGTACGTGGCAGCGCTGACACTTTGATATATACTTGCCTTTGATAGTCTATTCTTGACCGCACGCCAATCATGAGCGAGCCGCCGCGCCGCTCTGATGCTTGGTATTGATGTACGTTAGCTGTAGTTTTGTTGATAGCTGTGACGCGACTCGGCGTAGAGGGGCCGGCTGCGCGCGGCTGCGTTCGTCAGGATCTTCCAGAAACGGTCCTGCAGTTACTGTCTACTTATGCGCACCGGTCGACAACGTGGCATTGTATTTTATGCAGGAGGCTTATCTGTATACGTTCAGCAGTGATAGTGTTATGTCAGTGCATGTGGAAAATAAAGCGTATCTGAGAGGATTTTCGACTGCTTATGACCAAGTTCTATGTCTTCGTGAAGAGTTGGGCGTTTTGATTTTGCCCGGCTGTCAAAAGTCAAGCGACTGCCGTGATCCTGTCCGTTTACAAATCTATCGCACACTCGACAACTGTGTATTAACCACACAAATGCGTCAGACAAAGATCATGTGCATACAACAGTGGCGGCAAAACAGACACTCAACATACATACCAACGGATAATACCGCAAACTGACGGATAATTACACCGATTAGTGCCAACATGGCAAACTGAGTGTGATGAATTACGGCAGCTGGCTATGAATTATGACCGACAGATTAACACAATGGTGTGGCGTAAAATTCGCCACTGCAGCCTTCCGGCTGGGGCAGTAGTTAATACCGCTAACTTGAGTACTAATCATCAAACGTGAGATCAGCAGGGTCGTCAAGAAGTGACGAACATATAATACTGGTCTGTCAACATGAGACATACCTAATTCACTCACCGGTACAGCACTGCAAGACCCATCACTTAGACGCGGGTCCCGCCTCCGTCTTCTAAGAGATTCAATGCCTCTAGGAGAGAGTGCGGTTCACAGCGCTACTCGGACGGAGTAAGAGACAGTCGCGCTGCCGGGAAAGCTCAAACATTGACACTCGCTGACACACCACTGGGTGGCTGAAGACGGGCCACGCTGCATAGGCTGGGATCGGCCTCCATCCGGTAAGACATTCACGCTATACACAGACTTCGGCGAGCCATCCGTCCAGCCCAGCGAACATATTGAACAAACGATCTACTGACTAGTGGTGATTCAGACTAGTTTATGCAGCGAACCTCCACACCTTGACTAGTGAGTAATCCTAGTACCCCAGGCCGTGGGCCTTCCGCCAATCTCAGCGCGCCGATGACACTCCTTAGAACACCTCCGCTCTTTGGCTTGACTTACTGACTGGATAAGGCCAGGCTTTCAGGTATGACCCTTACTGATTCCCAGAGGCCAGGCTCTCCGGCCCACCTATCACTGACTGCCAGATACCAGGCTCTCCGGCCCACCTCTCACTGACTGCCAGAGGCCAGGCTCTCCGGCCTGACTCACTGGCTGCCAGAGGTCAGCAGCGGCGCCTTGCTCGGCGACCAGCTGCGCTCGTCCCCGGAGCCGGGCCGGCGGCGGCGCGGGGATCCGGAGCCGGAGCCGGAGCGGGGCCGGGAGCCGGCCGAGCCGGGGCCGCACACCCTGCCCAGGAAGGCCGAGACGGCCGCGCAGTACTCCTCGCGGTGGTAGCGGTAGTGCTGAACGTGGGGCGAGTCGGCGAACCGGCGACTGGAGACCTCAACACCGCGCGCCCGCCGACCGGCCATAAACTGGTCCACGTCCTGCAGACAAGCGAAAGACGGGAAGTCAAAGAAACATCGGAAATGCACATCTAAAATGCATCAGACGCAGAGAGAAATAAACAAGGGCATGGCGGAAACAATACAAGGGTAAGACACGGAAGTGTTCAAAGACCGGAAAAAAACAGTCAAAGGTCACTTGCCGAATCCCGGACACCCTCTCAGCCCAGCTATAGCCCCCTTCCCCCGCTCAGTCCCACTCGCCGCCCGATGCTGTCCGCCGGACTGACCTGCGCCGGTGTGATGTCATCCTTGTCCGAGTAGATGAACAGCTGCGGCCAGCGGTCCGGACACTCGAGCAGACTCCAGGGGTGTGTGTCCGTGTCCGCGGAGCCGAGCGTGCACCACCAGAGGTAGCGACACAGCACCAGCAGCACGAACAGACAGGCCAGGAACCACCGGTACCAGGCCGCTCCTGAAGGGGAGACCAAGATGTTTGTGACAAACGTTACGTCAGCTCAGGATAATTTCAAGTAAAACTGGACTGCTTTCACGTCAAGCTGGTGCGGTCATTTCAAAGTAGTCGACTCTCCAAAACACGACAAATGATACGTGAACAAGTATTCAAGAGACAAATAAATCTTCAAGTCCGATGGCAATGCCATAAGCACGTTCGCTAGGCCATCCCTAGGCAGGTGATCCTCCAATTCTCCAGGCCATCCCCGCTGGTGAAAACCGCACCACTCCATATCATTCCGCAGTTGAGCGTTCTCCTTCGCGCCTCTCCGAATTTTTCGTAGACTCAAAATAACCATTCGGTGAGCTGTCGAGTCCCAATAGACAAGCGCACAGGCCGACCTCTCACCTTTGGTGCACTGGTGGATGGCTCTCCATCCGCTGGTGACGCGGCGGCGGATCGGGCCGCTGTCGAACACTGCGCCGCGCACGTCCAGCGAGAGGCGCCGCTCGCGCAGCCGGCGCGTCAGGCACCGGTAGACGAGCGCGCCGCCGTTACTAAAGCAGTGGAAGAGCACCGGGTGCACCTCGAGCGTGAGGTCGGTGATAAGGTCGATCAGCTGGTCCGACACGTCCAGCAGCTCGCGCGGCGTGAAGAAGATGTAGTTGGTCGGACTGATGTACCGGATGGTGACGCATCTGAAAGGTGAGGTAAGTGAGGGTCACAACTGCTGGGAAGATTAAATATTGAAGAAAAAAAGGGGAAGATAGATGTGCAAGAAGACATGGTGACATCGACAGTGATAAGCGACAGGTATCTTAGAGAGACCAGAAGATTGATACCAAAGTGGTTTAGGGGATAGTGGCAACAGTCATACTCTATTTGGTGACATAAATTGAGTGTGGCATACTAAAGGCACGTAAAAAAAAAAACAAATGTTCAAGTAAGATCAGATGCAGCAGTGCAGCAGTGAAAGAGAGATAAGATGAGTAAAATGAGGTCTACCTAAGCCTGATAGTACACAATTAGTGGGCTTCATAAATCATATGAAGAGCTTGGACTTTCAGGACAATATCAATTGCAATAACATGGAATATGACCAATATTTATGACAGCCTTCACTGCCTCATGCCTGAGGAGCATCCACTGGCTAGTGACCTTTGTGCTTATTTAGCAAAACTTACCCCAGATCCTTATACATCTCTGCATATTTGGACAGGTGTCTATCCTCACAGCCTGCCCAGCCAAAAAGGAAAACAACTGGCTCCCTTTCACTTTCTCCATAAGTATCTTCATTGAACTCTGGTGAAACTGCTGCGGGAAACGTTACATAGTACTCCAACTCATCTTCGTCTTCCTCAGGATCCATATTCATGTTTGATGGGTACTTTGTTTACTGTTATAAAATGGTGTAATCTGGAACAATTAAATAAATCATTTGTCAACCTGCTGATCAACACTTACAATAATGCAATTGAATGTTCTCTGTAGTAAATGTCTAAGGACTGCCTGTAGTCCAGACTGCAAAGTATGGCACGCAGGTCGACGAGGTGCAGCACCGGCCCAAGTTCAAAATCCGCACCAACCCCTCAAACTGAGCCGGAAAATCCGCACCAAAGCGGGCCGAGAGTCCAAAAAATTCGCACCGAACCCACAGGCAATGATAATGCAAGGGACTTATTCATCTCACTATAATTATTTCCCGTCCAATTTCAGTTTCACTTACGCTTGAGCAACGCTCAACACGGGACCGCGCCACGCACTTGTGCCGGAAGTTTGAAATAGAGCAAATAGACGGACGCCGCGGTGAAAACAGGGCGCCGGAGGGCATAGTGGGTCACGTGACATTCGGAACTTCTCCCCTAGTCTGTGGGCCTTCTACATGCTAAATGTCACGTGTGAATTTCACGAGACTTGATCAAATCGCCCCAACAAACTTTTGTACGAGCAAAACCAATGACGTCATTCCAAAGTAGTGTGCTGATTGGTAATCCAAACCAGCTGCTCGCAAATGTGACATACCAGAGCTCTGTTCGCATCCCGTTTATTTATCAGCAGGCTGCGACCATGCTGCTACTTCTTGGCTCCTCATTGGTCGAATTCAAGTGGTCTATTCGTTAGAGCAATGACAGGCCAAGTCGCGCCAGCAATAACTTCCTTATATGGGGAAAACCGACAGCACACTGATATAAAAACAGCGACCGAACAGGGCCCTGGCACCACCGCAACCAGTCTTCATTCTAATGACGTCGTCATCACAACAATTCCCGAGGCGATAATGGATTTGTTCTGCCGCAATTGTTAGTTCGTAGAGTAAACTTAAAACCTTGGTCCGTCACCATGCGTCACCTTGGTTGGCACCCATTTGTTGGGTTTTCAAAGAAGAGTCAACGAGGGAACCCGGCCGGGTAAGAAGACCAAGCGGAGTCCGCACCGCACCAAGGTCCAAGCCAAATCCGCACCACACCAGGCCAAATCCGCACCGCACCACTCCGAAATCCGCACCAGCCGAACAAGCCCGCACCGACGAGATCTCGTCAAAATTGCCATACTTTGCGGTCTGGCCTGTAGTTGAAGCTTAGTTCATTTTGTAGGTACTGGTAGGGTGGGACAGATTCTCTCCTAGTCCTAACAAGACTGCTAGGGGATAATCTGTCTGCAGGAGAGAAAGTACCTAGACATGGGGACTGGGAAGGGTAAACAAAATGGGTTCTGGACTGGCCCATTCTATGGAAAATATTGATATGCAGATTTAAAAGAACAATATGCAGACAGCCTGGTGTCTTACATTTTCTTAGCAGCAATTACTTAATTACTTCATTGTACATTGAATTATAAAAATGTTTACCTGCTTTGGGTTACATACCTTGCTATTTCTATTCTGCAAATAAATTTCACTGGCACTCAACTGGACTTCGATAAATATTGATAAATAATAAATATATTATCCAAGCTTTATAAGAGGCCTCCACGGTGACGTCACAAACTATTTTTCGTAACTGGCAACGCTGACTGGTAGGCAAAACAAACCGGGCGATCGCGGCCATTTGTCTATATAGGGCCTTGGGCCATTTGCACTGGCGTCTCGTGGTTTATCGGATTGTGAGAGCTGTTTTCGATAGTTTTTTCTCTAGTTTGTGTTTTTGTTCGTGATGTACGACTCCTCACGATACAAAGCAAAGCTCTGCCTGGGAGAGAAGGTATTTCCTGATCCGTACAAGATCGATGAGGCCTACTGGATCTCGGACAGTTTCGAGAAGCTCCCACTCGTGCTGTTTCCAGATATATTTGCGTATCTGGTCTCCACTTCTGGCACTTTCACGTCCGACAACTTGAAAGCTTTCAAGTCACTAGATGCTTGGAATGTGTTTTTGTCTAGTCATGTTGGCCCACTCAAGCTCTGCTCAGTGGATACCAGTGGTGTTTTCGTGAAGGCAGAGGTACAGGCCAGTCAGACGGCTTCAAAGTCGTATAATGCATGGGTGCTCTGCCACCCCAATGGCAGTGTTATGTCTGCCCACTGCCAATGCATGGCAGGACTTGGAGAAGTGTGCAGCCATGTGGCAGGTGTGCTCTACAAGATCCAAGCAGCCGTACTCCACGGACTGACAGAGAATGCACCAACAAGCAAGGCCTGTCAATGGAATCATCAGACAGCTACGAAGAAGGTGGAGCCCAGCAAGGTCCTTGACATTGCAGCAGACATGGGCATTCCTGCCAAGCGAAGCAGCGTCGAGTTCATCATGTCTGATGCTGCATTTCAGACAGAGCTGCAGGATCTGCCTGCTGGGTGTGCGCTGCAAAGCTCTCTGCCAGTCAGTGGTGATGTTGTGGATGGCAGGACTGAGCTGCCATATCCCATCTACAAGATGTTCTCCATCTTGAAGAAGATAGCTCCTAGTGATGCTGAGCCATCGAGGAAGTACTGTGAGATGCTGGTTAACAAACTGAAGAAGATGTACCCGAGTGATGTGATAGGGAACGTCGAGCGAGCTACTGTGGATCAGGGAGGATCGAAGGAGTGGCTTAACCAGAGGCATGGAAGGGTGACTGCTTCAGTGTTTGGTGAGGTGGTGAGCCATGTCGAGGGGGGACGACAGAGTGCATCATTGGTGCGTAAGATCGTGGAGCCAGCGTCCTGTAAGCTTACAGTGCCTGCTGTAGTCTGGGGACATACACACGAGGCAGATGCTTGTGTTGCTGTAGAAGGGGTTCTGAGCTCTATGCATAGTGAGCTGACAATTCGTAAGTGTGGGCTGTTCGTCAGCCCTGACCACCCCTACCTGGCTGCCTCCCCAGATGGTATCATTGAGTGTGCATGCTGTGGGACATGGGTTCTGGAGGTGAAGTGCCCCTTTAGCCTGAAGGACAAGTCTCCGCAGGAGGCTGGGTTTCTAGATGAGAATGGGCACCTCAAAGCAGAGCACCCGTACATGATGCAGGTGCAGGGACAGATGATGGTCTGTGGGCTAAAGTCATGTGCATTTTGTGTGTATGTGCCGGGGCAGAAGCCCCATGTTCTGGTGATAAAGTACATGGAGAGCATGGGTGACTACCTGGTGAAGGTTCTTGAAACCTTTTATGTGAAAGAGATTGTGCCAGCACTCCTGAAGTGATGTCATAGCTAGCGACTGTGCCGGGTGCCCATTAGTGCACATGTAGGTTGTTCTGTCACTGACACCAGATGGTCGTGTTGATTTTGCTATGCTGGCTGCATTGATCATCATTGTCTGGCTGACAAATATATCTTTTGTGCTAGCTTATCTTTATAACAAGGGTTTGGGTTATGGCGTGATGCTGGTGCTACAGGTGATGCTGATTACGAACTATAACATCTGTTTGTGACCTCACACAAATCATTTGCAAGTCTGTTTTATTCATCAACAATGTCACTGTCATGAAAACAAACTCAATTGAGTTTGTTTTCAATACATGATCGGAGCATGTTACCAGCACTTAGTACCATCTAATCATGCATTCCATGGAGTTTTGGGGCATCTCACGGAACCACACTTGGATGCAGGTTTATGATACCTGCACACACACAAACAACATCATCTACCTGCGTGTACATGGTGACTGGCAATGTAGACTTCAGAATGCGAAACTTCGTTCTCATTCTACCAATGACTCTTTCAACATGGATTCTAGCTCGAGACAAAAGCCTAGACTTCTCTACTTCTGCCCTAGGAAGCTGGGCTTGACCACGAACAAATGCTGGTGTCAAAACTTTGAGATTGTACAGAGCCATTTCTGTAGAAACGGTAAACCCCCGGTCCGCCAACACCACATCGAATGGATCAAGGATGTCAATGAGCTCAGATGACAGTGTGATCTTTTTGTCTGATGATCGACCTCCCCAGACTGGAGACAAGAATGTAATTGCCCCAGCTGGTGACACACCAATTAGAACCTTGCATGTGTTATGGTGTTTGTAGGAACTGAACATTTTCTTTCTGGATGTGAGATGCCTTGGCCTGTCTGTAAAAATTTCAAAGCAGTCAACTACCACTCTGACCTTTCGAAGTTCGGGATAACGGAAGCAGAGAGGGAGGTTGGCCTGTATGCTTTCCCTTGATGGCCAGATGATGAGCCTCCTGCACATTGCAGCCATTGGACTGAGGGTTCCTTGAACGATCTTTGATACCAAGGACCTGCTTACACCAAAACGCCATGCAAGATCCTGATTGGTTGTCCCAAGCCTGAGCTTCATCAACACCATAAGAACCATGTTGTGCACAGACAACCTGGATATTTTGCTAAGGTCGCACCCCAGACAAAGAACCCTTACAAACCACATGAACATTGCTAGGGATGGGAACCCGGTATAAAATTTAAATTCCTCTTCATTCTCTTTCAAAGTCTCAAATGAGTTATGCTTTTTGCTGTTCAACAGCTGCTCACACTCCTCCTTCAACGATGTGACTTCAGCCTCCAGCTTATGAATTCTATCAAGTAGAGCTGAGACGACTGTCTTGTGGTTTTCTCCCCATGTACCATCAGTATTGCAGCCAACCTCACGCAGTGGCGTATCTAGGATTTCTCTCAGGGGGGATCCGCAGTCAAAAGGGCCCTTGACTGACTAGGTTGAAAGGGCCCTTAAGTGGCAAAAGGGCCCTTGTAGCCTGAGTTGAAAGGGCGTTAACCCGTGCCCCGTAGGGAGGGGGGAGGCGAAACGGCTCCCTGTCCTCTTCCGTAGCTTTCTCCTAAATGACTGCAAATATCGCCACCAAACTTTCAGGACCTCTCTGGGCATCCATTTTACACATTGTGACTAATTTTTTTTCCCAGAGGCTATGATAGGTTGGCCGCAAATGACGTCAGAATGACGTCATGTTCTGCCATTTTCGACCAAAAAAAGGTTTCGCAAGAAGAACCACAGGCCTACAGAGCTGTAAAAGCATAAACATGTTCCGACTTAAAAGGTGTAGAATTGACAGGCCTAGGTCAAATCTGAGCACAGTTTACAGAAAGAGCATTAAAAGAGCTTTGATTGTTTTGTTGGGTTGGGCCCAGGCCCTTTCGGTCTGACGAGTCCATTTCAGAGCCCTGTTCGATCGCTGTTTTTATATCAGTGTGCTGTCGGTTTTCCCCATATATGGAAGTTATTGCTGGCGCTTCTTGGCCTCTCATTGGTCTAACGAATAGACCACTTGAATTCGACCAATGAGCCCAGAAGTAGCAGCATGCTCGCAGCCTGCTGATAAATAAACGGGGTGCGAACAGAGCTCAGGGCCGGAAGTATGATAGGAAAGGAATTGAGGGAGACATTGGTCTGGTCTGGGCGGGCACCTTGGTGAGTCACCGGGGCTGAGCCTGTCCAACAGGACAGGCCGACCAGCCCCCCAAGTGCTCACTGCACCCGGTTACGAGCGTGCTTGATTAG